GGTGCAGATGCAGGTGCAGGCATGACCGAGGGCCGTGGCGTCTACAAGCAGAACAGGACGAGCATCATCGGGACAGGGCTGGACTGGCATGGGATTGGATATGCGCCTCGGGACTTCTGGCCGGCCGACGGATGCATACACATAGGGAATGGCGACGGGCGCTTCTCCGTCATGGCAGACCAGTCGGTCTTGGTCTATGTGGTATCCAAGTACGTAGTATGTAGTATGTAGGCACAGGTGTAGGTGTACTGCGTGTATACTCGTGCCGTAGTCCCTCCGGCGTATACGGCACGACAGGCGTTCATGTGCCCGGGCTGTAAGTACAGATGCCACCAAGGCTTGGCAGCATCCAAAGGAGACGGACCCAACGAGCACGAGAACAAGTCAAGATAGCGGCCGCTATTACACGCCCATGGTGATAAGTAGTCTGACCAACCCCCCTCGCACAACAAGGATACGCCATAACTACATATTACACACTACATTGCTCCACCCTGTCCCGCTGCACAAACACAGCAAAAGGATCCACACCAACACCACGGCCTGTGCCATGCCAAGCCGTTTCAATCTACACGATGCTTTACCTCAGACACGCTGCGCGGGAAGAGGTGGCCGCGTCCGCGTGCCTTTTGAACACGGTCCGCCTCAACACATGCGCCATGACGAGGGCTGCTGCCCGTTTGCCTCCCAGCCCAACGGTCCAAATGAACGTCCATGTATCTACTACAACTATGTGTACATGTCCATGTGAGATTGCGCGGCAAGTGGGTACTGCATGTGGCACGCAATGCAACCCTCCAGTATATAGTAGCGGCAGCTGCTTTGGGAAGGTCGTGCACACGGGAGACCAGGTTGCATACCACGGCTTGTGGGGATTGGAGCAGAAATCAGTCTTAGTGCGATCGGAGCCTGGTGTCAAGATCGTTCGTCATCAGAGAAGCCTTTGCCTTGGCCTTGAGTGTGCCTATCTGATGTGCGCAAAGAGAGAGAGAGAGAGAGAGAAGATTTGAATGCACTCCCTCATCCAAAGAAATCGACCAGTCTCCAACTGCATTCGGGCTAGTACTGCTCGGTTTCTTTGCATGAGGTAATCCATCGCACAGCAACAAACAAACCCGCCCTTGTTTCGCTGCTCACGGCAGACCAATGACTGCTTTGCGGTAATGTTTCGTCGGCCCTGGATGCTCTAGAAGCTTCTTGGAACAAAGCCTAATACCACCGTCGTCCATATATCCATCTATCTATCGACCCGTTGAATAATACCCGATAAGCCGTACATGCACATGTCTATCTAACAAAGAGAAGCGAGCAATATCCACCATACCGTCCTCGCCTCATTGCCTTGACCATCCATCCATCCATAACAAAATGCCACATGTACATGCACATGGCTGCATATACCCGCTACGCGAAGCCTCCATCCCAGGCTTGCTCCCTCCCACCCTATGCATCCATATTGCTGCGCTCCCAATCCTCGTCCACGGCACATTAATAGCTCCTCTGATAATGCCCCCCCCCGACACGCTGCCAGTGGTGGAAGCTGATAACCCCAAAGCACCTTTGTCCCACCGCGTCCTACACCTACCCACTGCCACCAAACCTCACCATGACATGCAGCCTCAGCATATTACACTGCTATCAATCATGACGCCTCTTGCCCCCGAGGCTGCAGCCATAATTAACCTCGCCCTTGTCATGACGCCACACGCCGCCGTCTTTGCTCACTGCAAAAGCAGCGAGTGCCTTGTCTGCAACACGTCGCCAAGCACCATCGCCTACGAGTACGACGTGTCAGGTTGGCCTCGTCCAAATGTCAGAGTCCGGACCAAAAGCCCTAGGTGTAGTGAGTGCTAGAGAAAGCTGTTCCCAGCGATGGGGCTAGCCCACTTTCCTTTCCTCGCAGCTCGCATTTCGGCATACAAGGCTGGATTGATGCCCTTCTTCTGGCATCTCTTCATCTCGCCTTCCGAAAGCATGCTCGTGTCATATCCACTCGAGCTCCATTTGCTGCTTCCGCTGCATTGGCTTCTTTTGGCTTCGTCTAGTGCCGAATCCACAGAGCGCTGCTCTTCGCTCGGCGACGAGGCTGACGCTGATGGGCTAACGTGGTATGAGCATCGGTCAATCGTCGTCGACTTTTCAATCACCATACGAGCAGGGCCAGGAGGCGCCTCTTGTAACCTGTCTGACAATTTCCGAGGTATCATCTTCCGAAACAGGGACTGAGGCGTGTGCTGCTCAACACTTGCATGCTCAATGCGTGTTTCGACAGGCGTGACCGACTGTCCCGAGCTGTCACTTGCCGAGTGCATCGACGACGGCTTGGAAACGACACTGGGCGGCCGACTGCCAAGTGCATCGTCTTCCAACGTGTACCATTCCGACCAAGGGGCCTCGGCTTCGGCCATGTCATGGCCACATTCGCTTTGGTCGTCCGAAGCACTGGTCGTCACTGAATCAATCGTCTCCAAAGAGGTTTGTCGGCGCAGATGGGGAGGAAGTCTCTTGGTGTTGTTGATTTCTCTCTTGTTGTTGCGATACGAAACAAGCCCACGTGCATGGCGCCGAGCAGTTGGCGGCTGGACTACGGGAGCCGGGTCAGGTGACGGGCCGTGGCCAGCTTCTACTTGCCGAAACAAACATGAAGATTTGCGGGTAAGAGTTGGGTGCGGTGGTGGGTCGACTGGATGTAACCGCAGTGGATTCACAGTTGGCGAAAGGGGTGGATGACGCGTGGGCTCAGTGTAGTGACGACCATGAACCGAAGCTGATGGCGTCGACGCTATTGGGGGTGGGGCAGCGTCGTCTACACCTAGTTCCTCGTGGGTGCCGTCCGACACAAAGGCGCCATCATGTGTGTGTTGCTGCTGCTGCTGCTGTGCCTCCAGAGTGGCTCTGGCCCAACGACGAATGGGAGGGGGCACGGCGTCGTCAATGTCCATGGCGGCGGCTAAGCGGGCGAATGATGGATGTGGTCGCAGTGCGACAGAGGAATGGAAAAAGAAAAGAAGATTCGACGTGAAGACGAGCCGTCGTGTCAGTGCCGCCAAAGCAGGCGGGCACAGCAATCATGACGCAGCGGTGCCTGACAGAATGACATGGCGCTGGTTAGCGCCAGCCACAGGGCATGGCTGTACCTTGCATTGGGGGCTCACGACGAGATGGGTTGGGCTCCAAGTTCTCATGTGGTTTCGTGATGCAGCAGCGCCGGAACAGCGGCGGCTCGTGTACTGGCACATGGAGCCGTGGTCGCGACGCGGCGGCGGCCAGGAGGGGTGCAGGCTGTCGTCTTGCATGTGCATGTCCGAGTAATGGTAGTCGCAGTGGCGGCGGCGGCGGCGGCGGTGGTAGTGGTGGTAGTGGTTGTAGTGGTGTTGCCTGTGGATTGGGCGGGTGGCTAGGGCGACGGCCGTTTGGGCCGTTGCTGGCCAGGCTGCAACGCAAACGGGTGACAGGGTCACGTGCGAGATGACGTGCTGGGAGCGGCGGGCACTGGGCAGGCCCAAGGGGCGTGTGGATGCGGATGCGCATGCGCATGTGGATGTGGACGTGGATGTGGATGCATCTGGCAGCAATCGCAAGGCGTTTCACGTGTGGGCGGCGTGTCAGAGCTGGGGGGTGCGAGGCTGCTTTGCTGCTGTCGTGGGCGGCAGCAGTTCCAGGTCGATGTTTCAAAGGCGGGCGGGCCCTGACAGGCCGGGAGGCCGGCCAGCCGTTAGTGCCCAAAGCAGCCTAGGCGGGCATCACCACCTGCACCCAGCACCCAGCACCCAGCACCACCACCACCACCACCACCAGCCTGCGCGCTCGCCTCCCCTGCCCTGCCCTGCCCTGCCCTACCGCACGGCGCCCTCTGTCTCTCTCCCGCCCTCTCGCTCTCGCGCTCTTGTACTCCCCCGCCCCCCTCTGCTGTCGCCGCCCACCGCAGCATGTATGCCCCAGCCCTCGCCGCACCCCACCCGCCGCGCTGACCCCGTGCCCGCTCGCCATGAGCAACGACACGCCCACGCCCATCTCCGACGACCAGGTCGTGGCCCTCACAAAGTCCGCCTTCGAGCACTCCCGCCAGGACATCAGCCACCGCGCCGCCGCAGAGACGCCCCGCGAGCTGCACCAGCAGCAGCAGCAGCAGCCCGGCATCACCATCGACCTGGGCCACAAAAACATTGCCCGCCTGCCCGACGAGGTCATCGATGTCATCCGCGCCGAGATTGAAAGGTAACGCCCCCTCGCCGCCGCCGCCGCCATGGCCGTGTTACTGACGTGCCAGGCTCGCCCTCTCGCACAACCTGCTCTCGACGCTGCCCTCGCGTCTGGTCGAGTGCAGGCGCCTCCGCTACCTCAATGTGCGCTACAATGCCATGCGCGAGATCCCCGACGCCGTACGTTGGCCCGCCCTGCCGCCCGCCTCGTAGCCCGCTGACCCGCTGCCAGATCCTCGAGATGACGTCGCTGGAGATTCTCGACGTGAGCCGCAACAAGATCCGATCCATCCCCACCAAGATTGCAAACCTGACGTCGCTCAAGGTGCTGGCCATTGCAAAGAACAAGATCGAGGAGCTGCCCGTGTGCCTGGGCGAGATCAACAGCCTGCAGGTCCTCAAGCTCGACGGCAATCCCCTCGTCTTCCCCCCGCCCGACGTGTGCACCATCAAAGACAATGCCCCCTCGCCCGCCAACGAGAACGAGCGAGATGCCGTCATAGCCACCCAGGTCAAGCGCTTCATGCGCCAACACATATCCAAAGAACGCCAGCGCGTCGAGCTGGAACGCGTGCGCGTCGAGTCTTCTGGCGACGAGAGCTGGACCGAGAGCAATCCTGAGACACCTCGCCCGTCCAAGCGAGCCAACGGGGGGCGCTTCCCCGTGCGACCCAGCATAGGCAACATTGAAGGCTTCTCCGACGCCAAGCCCGATTCTCCTGGACTGGCTGCCCCGCCCATTCCGGTTCGCTCTCACTATCGTGTGGGGTCCACGACGAGCAATGGCACCGGCTCTGGCATTACCGTCACCAAGAGGCCCCCGGTCGCTCCCCTGATCCTGACAAACGGGAACAGCGAGCGCAACCGCAGCCAGAGCGAAGGCTCAGGGCCCTCGTCGCAGCGCCAGAAGCGCATGGGCATCTACACCAACAAGACATCCGACTTGGCATCGGTGAACGAGTTGCGCCAAAGCAGCCATTTCCGGGGCTTTAGTCAGGGCATCTTGGTCCCTGCCAATTCCGCTGCCAATGGCTTCTCTGGACCGCCCAATACGGGTGCTTACGACGACACTGGCACCGTCAGCTATCTCTCAAATCGTCCGCTGTCCGACGTCCGTGAACACCATCGTGGATCGCGTGCGCCCGATATCGTCGTGGAAGCTGCAAAAAACTTTCTCTACGCCATCTCCCAACTGCATGACTGTGTATCGCACATGGTGCGTTCCATCAAGTTGACGGCCAAGACCAAGGAGGGTCTACGTCGCAAAGAAGACTTCTACCGCAGGTACTCTACCACGTACCTCAACATTCGAGCACTGAACGAAGTCTTGCACAAATTCGATCGGCTAGTCGAAGCAGACGAGGAAGAAGCGCAGAAACTGTCTCGAAGCGTGTACATGTATGCACTAAGATGTCTCGACTCCTTCATGTCCATCACTCTCTCAGTCGCCGAGAACCGCATCGAGATTACCCAAAATGCGAATGCACACATCATGCGAACCTTCCTGCTTCTTCAGCAAGGCAGCCTAATCGAGATGAGGAATGCTTGCTCGATACTAGGTGCACAGTTCAGAGATACTTCTGCCGCAGCAGTCAAGCCCACCGGGGGTGACAACCTCGCGACAGTCCGTGCGCGACCGTCGAGGCCTCGTCGCTTCCCAGTATCCCCGCCGCAGCTGCGGACCGGATATCAGATGCCTCCGCCCGTCATTCTACACAGCAATGACAACAGTCGATCAAACACCCTGACGAGCCTCAGCGCCGCAACGCCCCGCTCCGGAGGATCCTTCTCGACCACGGCACCTGGCATGACGCGATCCAACACGCTTACCAGCAGCTTTGATGAGACGGACGAAGACGCTCAGTTTGATAGAATCTACACCAAACTCCGCAACGCATCTGATAGCTGCAGAAACTCGATAGCTCACATCACGCGCATGATGCGAGAGCAATTTGATAGTCTGCGACGTGACCTCGACTCTGAAGACCCCAGAGTAAAGGCATTGGCAAATCTCATTGATAAGGCCAATGAGGTTCAGCAGATGGCGAACCCTCTGGCCAGCCGCCTGTCACAGATGCAGCTCAAAGACAATTATACTAGAGACCAGCCCGATTTCTGGCAGCAATGCATGGGCTTCATCAAGGTATGTACCCCACATTGTGCCCCTCAACTCGAGACCGGCTTGCTAACGAATCCATGCTAGGCCTGGCAAGAGCTTGCCGCAGCGTATACCCAACAAGGCAGAGAGCATAAGCTGCTCACTGGTGAGGTTAAGCAACTCATGCGACCGTTGCATAAGATGGTCAAAGAAGCTAGTCTGGCTATCAATGACAGTCCATGGTCGCATCTTACAAGCAACAATCTTGGCTTGATGGGACCGCCGAGCCTCTCCTCATTCACATCACGGACACAACCACCCAAGTTTTTAAACAAGCCGAATGGAACCATGTCGTCGAGTGGGGGAGGGTCTTTCCCAGGCCCGATTAATACATCAATCCCTGCAATGGCCTCAGTCTTTTCTGCACAGCCCTATTCTACGGCGAGTTTTGGGTCACAAGGGTCGGGTGGATACAGCACGCCAGTACCTGCAACGCCGTTGAGCGCCGCATTAGGTGCCGCCGCTCAGGCAACTATTCCGAATACACCCAGGATGCCCTCGCAAGGTTCCAACACACTCAATGTCTTTGAACGGGCTGACCGGCTATTGAGTCAGACAAGCCGGCGCGTATGACCACGGCATATGACCACCGTCAATGGGGATTCTGCAGTGATGCTATCCAAGTCGGTAACGCGGGTGTTTCTAACCGTCCGACAATTGCCCGGGGCGTATACGAGCTTGCGTCTCCACACCACACTAACGTACGTACACATTGTCTTGTGCGCTGGTTTATCGTTTTGTTTTACCGTAATGGGCGAAACATGTTTTTCTGTCCTCCTGCACACCATTAGCGTCGGCGTTTGTCCGGATTTCACTCTTTTCTTTCCGCATCACACTCTGCATACTGGGATCATGGCGTTGAAAGTCTACTGAAGTCGCTTCTTTTTTTTTCTCTTCTCGCTATCGTCATTTGCATGTACCAGGCGTCTTGGTTGATTGAATCTGCGTTGGGCAGGTGGATGATGGGCGGTTGGGCTGATTGCTGGTTTGGGACAATGGGATTGGTGGTTCCCGGGTGATGGTGCATGCGGACATGCGTAATGTTTTATATGGAACGAGCAGTGGAAGTTGGGGAATGTCTACCCAATGGACACGGAAGAGCAAAGAAGATTGCTGGCATCTTCATTTGATATGAGGTGATGGGAGATGATAGGATCATGGGCTCTCTGGAGGGCATTTGGAGTGAAGAAAAAAAAAGTAAGTTTGGGGGGAACCCAGGGATTGGAATCATGATTTGGGTAATACATAGACACAGTTTCCTTTTTCCTTCTTTTTTTTTGCACGCTAGACGGCTGATTTTGGGTTTGTCCATTTGCGTTACCAAGTTGCATAGACTTTGAAAAATACCTTTGTGTTTGTTTGTTTATTTGCTCGGTTTACTTGTTTGGTTTGTTGTACTATTTTTGCTTGTGTGGCATTGTGCTGTGAAATGCTCCTTTTCGTTGTTTTCATAGACTGTTCTCGCGCCTATGTATATGTTGATTATGATGATGATAGGAATGGCGACGTGCATGAGAAATTGGCTGTATCAACGTGAATTCGTCTGAGCACTACTACTATTATCAAGTGTCTAGTTCCTGCTGCTCTCTCTAGCCTTACCATTCCTGGACATGGTGTATGCGAGAGAAGCATGTACAACAGACGCATACCAGGTGAGAGTGAGTGAATCAATCAATGGATGCATGGGCCCTATATTGATTTTCCAACATCTCTTGGGCTGGAAATACATTGTCGCCTTGTACTCTGGCAATGACTGTAAATAGTAACCTGGGGAATGCGTGATTCGAAATTGGTATTTTGAGCACTTGTCTTGACTACGGACATGGATAGACGGCTGAACTTGTTTTTCTTTCTTCTGAACAAGCTATATGATTTCGTAGTGGCGCATCTTCTCGAAAACCAGATATATATAGTTTCCGTGGCCGTCGCTTCAAACAGCTGGGAGCATTTGTCCTCGGTATCACGTCATCTTTTGGGCATCTACTACACTTCTGAAGTATACCCAAGCACATGGAATGGACAGGCAGATGCAGAGCAACACCAAACATGGAGTACCATAAGTATACGCACACAAATGTAGCGTCTTGCTCCCTTGGTCTACTGCCGAGGTTGGCTACCTCTGAGCAAGGTGAGCTCCCAAATGGTCGTAGTCTCATCAGAATGCCCCGTGAGCTTTGTGGAAGTATTCTACAATTTGAACACAGGCACAGTATTTACACTCTCCGTGCCTTTGAGATGGGCGTTGGTGGCATGAGCAGTGGCCGCTTGCATGCGTTGAAACCTCGTGGCGCAGGATACCTTTTGTCGAGCCAGACGTTCCACAGCATGACTGAAGCCGTGCTCGATGACCAATACAGCATAAGAGCCGCAGGCAGGTTTTGGCAGAGTGGGCCGATGAGCAGCGAAACGCAGAGCAAGGTCCGTCGAAGTAGATTGGGCCAGTTGGCACCGTTTTCAACCGTATTCTTCGAGGTATAGATGTTTGCAAACATGATGCCTGATGCGATAAACGGGAGGACACCGGTTGGGTCTGGAAGAAGCAGGTCCGGGAACCAGAGCATACCCTCTGTTGCCAGCGATGGCTCGAACCACTCGGAAGGAGTCACTCGCGCTACGACTTGGCCAGTTTCTGTCGTCATTGTCGTTCGCTCGCCTCTGAGTACAGACATTGCCATGCCCAGCAGGCCATCCTGGGCGCCGCATTTCTGCCGTATGGTCTCGGCCATTGCGAAGAAGATGGGTATCTGCCCCAGCGTCCAACTAAGCTGGCCGGAGAGGGTGACATTCCACCTCTTGTCCAATGCCGACGTCATGTCCTTGACCTCTTTCTTGACTGCGAGCGTGGCTTGTTGGGGCGTGCGGAACCCACCGCGCTTCAAGATGTCGTCTCGCTTCTGGAATGCTAGTGCCTGGCGCAGCGGGTGCAGGCCAATGTAGCGGGCCATGAGAGCGCGCGCACGTGTTCCGGCCACGGTGACGAGCAGGCCGCGAGCAACAAAGGCACTGAGGGGTATGGCGGCATACCAGGGGGCGGCGCCATGTATCAGCGATATCATCTCGTGCGGGAGGTAGAGCAGCGTGTCAATGAGGGGATCCTGTCGCGGGGCCGAGGCATGGAAGGCGCGCGCTGTGGGACGGCATGCTGGAGCTCTGGATGGGCGAGCGCTCCTTGGAAGCAATTGGCATGCTGGTGGGCGCAGCAGGCGCGGGGACAGCATGGTGTTGTGCTTTGTGGGCGAGAGCAGTAGCAGCAGCAGCAGCGGTGGTGGTTGTGCATGCACGGCAAGACATCGTGTCCATGTCGAGTTTGTCATGACTACGTCGATGGTACTGCCGACTTTGCTGTAGAGCTTTGCAAACAGCTGCCAGTATTTCTTCTTTGCCAGTCCGCGGTATCCTGTGCCAGCGCCTTCGTGGATGCCCTTTCCTCCAACTTGCAGCGAATCGAGCATGTCGGTCGAGATGGTCGGGTAGTGTACGTATGCGCCTGTCGGGACAGTAGGAAAGAGAAACGAAGACAGGCCAAGGGCGAATGCATATCCCATGGTATCTATGAAGACGTCTGGGACGAGGAGCGAGAAAGCATCGTACGCGAGGATCAGGGAGCCGAGAGACTGTCCGAGTAGGGTGAAGCGTGGCCATGTGCTTGCAAGCACCCAGTCGCGAGTTGTCAGATAGAGAAAGTGGACGGTGGGCGGGTACAAGTCGATGTTGAAGCGATCTCGGACGCGCTTGAGTATGTCTGCCTTGTCGACGTCGTGGTCGCCCGTGTAGACGATGCAAATAGCCTTTGGCCAGCGCTTTTGGTGTGCTCGAATGGCGGCCCAGAGAACTCGTTCGCCGCCGCCTCCTGCATTGCTGTGCAAGCCTTTTGTTAGCGGCCATGTGCCCGCCCTTTGAGACTCGCCATACATACCAGAACGGGTGGAAGAAACCCACGATGCCGTCCCAGTCGCCATGGGCCTGGCCGCCCTTGGCCGCGCTACTACGAGGGGTACTGCCCACTTGCTCCCAGTCCTCGTCTTCCTCTTTCTTCCTGTTCTTCCGGTCGGCCTCGTATGCCTTGGCCTCGCTTTCAGCTCGCGCCAGCAGCAGTTCCCGCCGTGTGCGGGACCATCGGCGGAGGTGCTGGCCCACCAGTCCTGCAGCCAAGTGCAGCGCCTTGGGAAGTAGAAGAAGCGCCATAAGTGCAGGCACGAGCAGCGACAGAAGCATGTGCAGCAGACCCATCTTGGCCAGGCACGGTGAGGGCTGTCGGGGCTGGCTGTTGGGGGGGGCGGAGCGGAAGGCCAAGTCAATCCATGGGCGGAGGTGAATGTTTTGGAGAAGCTGGACAGTTGTTCAGGTGGGATGACGGTTCCTGGCGGCCGGGCCGGGGGGGGGGGAAGCATGGGACCCTGGCGCTAGGCAATTGCTGGCTTAGCGGCAGTGGGAGCCTCTTCGTCTCGGGAGTCCAAGGCCATGTCAAGTCGCTCTGGGGGCCCTATCGCACCAAGCGCAGCAAGGCATTCGATATTGACGTCGTCTTCCCCCCTGTCGCAGTCGAAGAAGTTACAGAGGCCGTCGAGGTGTCCGAGTCCAGCGAGAAGAACCGTGGCCCAGACCTCGTCTACATTGCGCAATTCCGACCGGAAAAGAACCATCGACTGATTCTCGAAGCATTTGCCTCATTTCTACATTCCAAGGTGGAACTTCCCGCATACTCTAATGAAACCCCTAAGCTAGTGCTAATAGGATCGGTGCGCAACTCGCATGACGACGCCAAACGAGTCTACCAGCTGCGCCTCCTGGCGCATGAGTTGAACATCAAGGATAACGTAGAATTCATTTGCGACGCGCCGTGGCCCCTGATGCTCGAACGGATGCGCACATCAAGCGTAGGCGTCAACGCCATGTGGAACGAGCACTTTGGCATCGGCGTCGTCGAGTACCAAGCCGCAGGCATGATTGCCGTCGTAAACAATTCCGGCGGCCCAAAGCTTGACATTGTGGTCGACGTGGACGGAAAGCCTACTGGTCAGTTTTGGATTCGATTGCATAGTACACGGTAAATGTCCATTCGGCATAACTCTGACACATTGTACAGGCTTCCATGCTAGCACGGCCCAAGAATATGCAGAAGGCTTCCGAAAAGCGCTCACGCTTTCGCCACAGGAGACGCTGGACATGCGGCGCCGAGCCCGCCGGTCTGCTGAGCGCTTTACCGATAAGACGTTTGCGGACAAGTGGCTTGGGAATGCGGAGAAGCTGGTTGCGCTGCAGATCAAGAGGACGTCCAAGTGAGAGCGAGAGAGACTTTGCTTGCGTGCCTAGAAAAAAAGCGTGGCAATACGGGCGTTGTCGTTTTGGGTTCTTTTTTCCCTTTCTTCTTCTTCATCTTTTTGATACCACACGTCAGCATTAGGGAGTGTACTTGTACTATAGCATACGTGTACCCTACATTCTCTTTTTAGACAAAACACAGCATTACTTGTAGTAATTCTCACATCCTCACAAGGGCATGCGCATATTCACGAACCCCGACGTGCAACAAGACCAAAAGATAAGAAAAAGCACCGCTCAGAGTGGCGTGCAAAATATAAATTTCTTTTTCATTGAGGCTGGACATGACCGCTTTGTTTTTGGTTCTCCCATTCCCGTTGCTTGATTGCTCGGAGCTAGCCGACATAATGAATGACGAGACGATATAGATGGAGTCCCTAGGTTGTTTGGGGCCTACTTCCCTCTTTCTCTTCTTCTTGTACCTCCCCGCCCTCTGGCTGACATGCTACTTGTATGTCGGAAGAAAAACAAAATGGATATATAATTCGTCAACAGGTAACCCCCCCCCCGCCCTTTCTTATCCCATGTCCGCGTGACTTTTTGCACAAGCCTGTGCTTCCCTAAGCGGCACCCCACGTCACAAAAGAAATAAGCCCTTGATAGAATCCCTGAAGTCCCCGCCCCAAAAGAAGGTAGGAGGGTCCAAAAAATGAATACTTGATTTTTCTGAGGAGAAAAAAAGAGATAAGTAGAACAAATGTGTGATTAGTTGAACCGGTCCAGCCGACTTGCGAACAGTGGAAGATGTTAGCACAATGACAACGAGTCTTGTTTTCCTTCTTCTTGTGCATCATCATCAAAGACGTTCAAGCTCTTGAAAGCGCTCAACGGGATCAGCAAAAGATCGCGTCAAGCCGACCGAGGCCCAAAAGTCGTCGCTGATATCTTGGCGGTGCGCAAGACGCTCGAGCAAGGACCGGGCGTCACGGAGTTCCTGGTCTAATGGCGTAGAATCGGCCCGTACCAATGGCGGGGGGGTCTCCTCCTCACTCGTGTTTGCAGGCTCGTCGGCAGGTCCGTCGAGCTGCGACATTGGAGGCCTTGAGGCTTCTTCCGTCTGCGTGTTTCGCCAGTTGGTTCGGTTGGCTCGGTTGTAGAAGTTGTGTACATAGACGCTTGCGTCGCGGGACCGGTCGATTATGCGAAGCGAGTAGCGCTCTGCGTCGCGCATCGGGGGCTCGTTTGAGAAGTATGATGGCCGCATTCTGCGACGGGGCGCTGTCGAACTTGAGAGGCCGTCTTCGTCTCCCGGGTGTTCCGTGTGTGGGCGGCGCATGGGAACACGTACTTCAGTCTCCTCGTCCTCTTCCGTGTCTGAGGCCGTGTCGTTGTCTGAAGTATCGCAAGCACGGAGGAATTGATCGTGCTGCAGAGGACTTGGGCGCCGTGAAGGGATCGTGAGATGGGTCTGCGAGGACGAGGCCGAGTTCGAACTGCCTGCCCGGGAACTGGGGTGCGAGTCTGTGAACGAGGCTGACGCGGCGGCTGACGCAAATGACGATGTTGCAGTTGGCGCAACGGGATCGTCGACGACGGTTGTAAGGAAGGTATCCCAGCTCAATTGGTCGTCGAATGGACTGACGCTGCGATTGCGGTCGCCCAAGCCGTCCAGAGCGGGCACCGGGCTCCAGGATTCGCGCAACGAGCTTGTAGGCAACGGTCCATCGGCGATGGTGCGGCGACCCATTCTGCGGAGTTGTGGAAAGGCCACGGGGGTGTTGTCGCTGCTTTCGTGGTCTTCATCAGGCGTGCTGGTGCCGTCGCTCCTTGGCGCATATCGGTCCGCGCGGGGGCTCCGCGAACGTGTCAATCTCGGGTGGGCAGCGCGACGGTACGAAGGCCGCTCGCGGACGCGGGAAACGTCGCGCGCGTCGTGTGCTGTGTCTGCGCGCGAAGGTGGTGAGGCTGTGGCGGGCGCAAAGCCCGGGGTGAGGCCTGCAAGAGAGCGTTCCGTGTCTCGGGCCCTGCGGGTGCCATAGGTGCGGATGAACTCATCCAGGCGGTTGCGCGACCGGCGCAGGGTGCTGATGGGGCTCAGCGGCGGAGGGGGGTTGCCGGCAGCCTCATTGCCGCGGTAGTCTGATCTCGAGACTTCGGGCACCGGGGGCGGCGCGAGGCGCGGGCGGTGCGACGAGCGCGGGATCCATTCGATGTGGGCAGCAGCGCCCGGCGCCGAGATGAGGAACTCGGTGTCGAGCGTCGTGTGCGGCCGTGGCGACCGGTTTGGTCGGACGCGACGCCGGATGGGCGAGCGCTGGCCCGTCAAGTCGGCTCGCAGAAGGTCCTTGTCCCTTGCTTGCTCGCGCTTGATGTTCCATCCGATGGGAATGCCCATTGCGCCAGCCGAGTCCGAGTGTGTTGTGTTGTGGGGGATGGGGGGTCAGGGAAGATGGTGGAGATGTCGTGTTGATGGTGACGCGCGTGGACGGATGGGCTGGCGATGGCCGGAGGGGGAGCTAGCAGCCCAAAACAGCGAAGCGCCACGCCTGCGCCACGCCTGCGCCACCGAGGCTGAGGCTGAGGCTGGGGCTGAGGCTGAGGCGGAAGCGGAAGCGCCTGGGCAGGCGCCATCGCCAAGCCGCCGTTGCCTCTTGCAGCCTCTGGTTCACTCGCTTCCGTGAGTCAACAGCCGCCCATCGCTGCCGCTGCTGCTGCTGCTGCCGCTGCCTCTGCCTCTGCCTCTGCCTCTGCTATAGCACCCTCTCCCTGTCCCCACGGCCATGATCCAGCCTGGCTTGGAACGGATCAGCCAGCTCTTGAACAATGTCCAGTTCCCGTGGAGGGCAATCCATGTCGCCGGCACCAATGGCAAGGGCTCCATCTGTCATTACGCTGCCACCCTCATCGTGCGCCGCAAAATCAAGTGCGGTAAATTCACCTCTCCACACCTCATAGACAGGTAAGTAAGTGCCTTGTCGTGCGACCCGTCTGTCCGTCGTCTAACGCGTGCAGATGGGACTGCATCTCCATCGACAACCAGCCCGTAGACGAGGCGCTCTTTCGGAAGACGGAGCAGCACTACCTCGACCTCAGCCTGAAAAATGGCATCAATGCCTCTCCGTTTGAGATCTTGACTGCTACCGCTTTCGACATCTTCAATCAAGAGCAAGTCGAGATTGGTGTGGTCGAAGTTGGCATGGGTGGCAAGCACGACGCCACCAACATTCTGAACAACCAAGCAATCTCCGTCATATCCAAAATCGCCCGTGACCACCAAGACTTTCTGGGTAACACTCTAGAGGAAATTGCCCTACACAAGGCTGGCATCCTTAGACCCCGGGTGCCGTACATCATCAACCCGAGCAGTGAGCGGAATGTCCAAGGCACAATCCAAGCATACGCAAAAAGTATCGGCGCTGGTCTACGACTCGACCATAACCCGCCGGACCTTCGTAAAGCCCTGTTCAAAAAACATGACTGGCTGGAGTTCACTAGACATCTGCCACTGGTTCAACGTGAGAATGCAACCTTGGCTGCCATTGCTGCTAGGCAAGCTCTCAGGAGGTTAGGGCTTTACTTCAGGCCTTTTGACATTGGGCGCATGCTTTACAAGTCCCGCATAGTTCCGAATCGTGGCCGTATGCAACTGGTTAGAGTCCCGCCCATCTTTGGCGATTATCCGCAACATAAAGGACGCAATATTTTAGTCGACGGTGCCCACAACCCTGATGCTGCGAAATCGCTCAGCGGTTATGTTCAAACGGTCCTCAGAGATAGCGCAATACCTGGCGTTGGCTTTCCGCCTCGAGGAGGATGGCCAGTTACCTGGGTACTTGCCATGACTGAAGGCAAAGATGCACAAGAGTACCTCCAGACACTACTGCAGCCAGGAGACAATGTCATCACGACTTCATTTGGCCCTGTGGACGGCATGCCATGGGTAAAACCAATGGACCCACAGCACCTGCTTGAAATAGCATATCGTGTGCAACCTCGCATTACAGGGCTAGCGATACCGGAAGGTGGTGCATTTCGAGCACTGTGCGCAGCCAAATTCATGACTGAAAAAGGCCGACCTATAGTGCTGACGGGCAGTTTGTACCTCGTCGGCGACTTCCACCGCGACTTGCGCTCCCATAATAGCAACCATTTTTGGACAGACCCAGAGTTTGCGCAAGAACGTGACGCAATGAAGACAATGCTGAATGTGGAGAGGTCCAGAGTTAATCGCTCACTCAATCCTGGTCTCTCAGATGAAGTCGGTCGGACTAGCGGCAAGGGTGAGAAGAGGAACACGGAATGGAACAGGCAAATCTCTGACCGAGAAAAGAAGAGAGCTATACAAGGAGAGTTAGAAAGGCTTGAACGAGAAATGGAGCTTCTTGCAGCTGAAATGCCGGGTATTGGGCATCGACAAGTCTCAAACGCCAAGGTTTCCAGCGAGTCAACTAGTTCCACGGAATCTAGTAAAGACCAAACCGAGTCTGTAGCCGAGGAAACACCCATAGCCAAAGATGAAGCACGCATTGTGCCCATACAACCGAATAAGACCATAGAGTAGAAGGACCTAGTCTCAAAGAGGGCTATCACGCGAAGAAGGACGAGCGCCGCGCTGGAACGGACAAGTATGGCTGGATGGCTAGGTCTCATAATGGAGTTAAGCGATGATGTTAACCAGTTTGTGAACTGTCCAGCACATGTTGCAGCCAGGGCGAGGAGACGCAGAGGGGTGGCAGCTTGTATCGGTTGGAGTACCAATGTGGTTATGGACAAGCACGAACTAGAAGCATCACAGCCCTCATTTTATAAGAAGCACCTGGCCTCATCTGAAAAACAAAATCTTGAAGGACATTTGAATGCCGGCTTGGGGTCACGAGAAAGAGAGGGATAGCAAACAACAGCTGTTCAGCCATCGACATGATGCCGCAGAGCGATTCCTACACAAAAGACTCATCCAACGGCTTACTGTACAACGGCAGCCATTGTTCAAAAAAGCAACAGGCCGGTTTGGCGGCAAGAGATGGATACTTGAGACCAAGGATTCTACAACTTGCTGCAGTGTATAGATTTGGGCTCGTGCAGCGGCCGCACTTCGGACTGCAATGCATATCACGGCCCATACGTATTGATATGGGACCTTGTATGTACGCTACCATGAATCATACCCACGCGAACGAGCATTTCCAACTTCTACATCTGCACAAGAAGACGATCCTACAAGAACTGTGTAGTGCTTTATGTGATGCACTTGCTAGTCGCTGCATATGCATCACACGAATGAGGCTCTGCAAGATTGTGCGCTTGAGCACAACTTAATTTGCTTTTCTTTTTCGCACATCTTTCCCCAAAATGGGTTGCGCCATCCCGCACTGCCTGCTATTGAACGATTCCAACCAGGATGTGCGACAGGGCGCGGCGTTCCGATTCTCGCGAAGGAACTCGGCTGCTGTGCCGGGAGGACGGGAGAAGGAGAAGAAGGAATTGGGTATAGTACAAGAAGGCTGCCGACTTGGTACTGGAATGGCGCGACTGGGACCTGAGCCACCCGTGGCTTGGCAATGCAACCTGTCACTGTCCCGACTTGGAGGGGCCCACTCCTACGCGCCAGCGACTTGGCTTCATCATACGACCGTGTAGGATCGCTCGAGTCCGGTTGAATCCGTGATAAACTACTCCCAGGCACTTGGACATCCTAGTCGATCTCGTCACAGACCGTGCTTAATCTCGTCGGTGTTGCAAACCGTCTTGGGATGTCACTGGAAATAGGCCAGGGACCACACATCACCCGCTTGCAGACGATCGGTACGTGTCACATGGAACAGGGAGGAGTGCATCATGAGGGTGGCGTCTTCCATACTTGATACATCCCTCGTAGTAAAATCAATCGTATTCCCAGAGTCAATGGATACTCAGGAATCTTCAGCACATTGCCCGATTAGAGGGGTACTTTCCATCACCAAAGGCCGCGGTTCCAGAGGCTGCCAACTCACACCTATACACGATCCAGTGGTTTCTGACTGGTAGACATCATGTATCACAACTACTCGAAAGACATGATGATTGGTCTCGCCATCGCGTTTGCGATACTGCCGTTTGCGTTTGTCTGCTTACGACTGTGGGCGAAGAGAATATCAAAGCGTCTTGGATGGGATGACGTTCTCACAGTCGCTGCACTGGTAAGAAACATGCACGGAGAACCTGAGCACAAAGCAAGAACTGCAAAAGCTGACTGAACACAGGCAGTCTGTGTGACATGCTGTTTCTTGCAACTAGCCAGTCGGTCTCCGCATCACCTTAGCAGACTTACCACCTAACCTTTCGGAACAGCGGCGATACATGGCTACTTGGGGTCTCACCAGCCCCTCGACGCGCAGGGTCGACCTATCATGGACGATCTTGGCTTAATCTTCTTCGAAGAGGTCAGTCTGTCCATCTTTGCCCAGAAAGTCTTGCTCTGATAATACTCTAGACAAAATTTGCAATCAACATGATTTCCATCATTGGACTTGGCCTCGTCAAATCGTCAATCTTGATCTTGTACAAGAACATCTTCAACGTCCGGAAATTCCGCCTCTTTGTATATGCCGCGTTGGCGTATGTGATCGGCTGGACCATCAGCTTTTCTTTCTCGCATCTCTTTACTTGCTACCCTATCACTGTCTTCATCGAGCCCTACTACGGTAACAGCTGTGTCAAGACTGTGCCAATGTTTCTGGCATTGTTGGTAGGTCACCCCATGTTTGACCTGACTGATCATCGCAGACAGGTGATCTAGTCTGGGTTTCAATCAACATTATGACAAGGGCTGACTGCTCAAAATATTATACCGATGTTTTCGCAGATCTCGTCATCCTTATTCTTCCCATCCCTATGGTAATGAGCGTGCGAATGGAGAGGAAGAAAAAGGTGGCTGTCATTGTGATGCTTTCTTTGGGTGCAGCGTAAGTGGATTGCTTCCCTCATCTCGAAGCGACGCAGCGTGACTGATAAAACAGTGTATGTGCCATAAGTATCACACGCGTGGTGGCGACCTATTCCATTGCGGAAGAGTACATCAAGCACCCCGACGATGTCATCTACTACACAGCGCCCGTCTTTTTCTGGACAAACATTGAGCTATCACTGGGTCTTGTATGCGCGTGCTTGCCCACTCTACGGCCAATCTGGTTCTACTTCTATCCAAGAGAAGAGACACGGTCTGGGTATGGCTATGGACATAGCTATGGCCTAGGATACTCGGGAAGAGGCTATGGATCATCGGGCCTGCACGGCACTACGAAACACAGTTCTTCCAGTGGCAAGCTGACACGGAAGCCCTACCAGGAGATTGACGAATTAGGTACGTCGTGGCGGCGATATAATGACATTGAATGCAAATACACACATGCTAATGCCACGCAGAGCTGACGAAGATGTCTGAGGACGCCGTTCACATAACCCCCGAAGACGCTTCTGCCATCAGCCGAAACAGAATGACAAAGCAGTTGACCATTCATCAAGCCCTAGCATGACCAATTCCCCATGTGGGAACCTCATCTTGCAGCTCTCCGAATAGCTTTCAGCTCTTAGGGCACTAGTGCCAGCATATACGCTCGTGTAATAGCATATGATGCGTTTCAGAGAGGTTCTTTTCTGATCGTCCACGGATAACGGTGATAGGTGTCTAACAAAACGATTGGACGTCAGCTAGTATGTAGGCGTGGTTCACTCGGCCTTTTTCCGCCGCCACTACGTAGTGCTAGCACACCAACTTCGAGTTTTCTGGAAACCGCCAGGAAAGCACGCTATCTAGGAGAACCGACCAATTAGTTTCTTGTAAGGGATTTGTATATATTTAACAAAAATTACACCTATTCTAGAAAACTTGACAACACACCAACTTCGAGTTTTCTGGAAACCGCTAGGAAAGCACGCTATCTAGGAGAACCGACCACGAGGAATCGACTAACAGCACTTTTTAACACCTGCAGCTAAGGCGCTAGCGCGCAGTAGGGAGAAGAAGGAGGCCTTCCTTCGTTTTCTCACGCCT